TTCAGGAAAAAAAAAAAAAAAAAAAAAGGAAAAGATGAAATCAGAAGCTCTAAAATAGGAAAAAAAAAAAAAAAAAATTAAATGACAAACAACGTCAGTTTTATTGTTCTTCAAAAAAAAAAAAAAAAAATTTACTTCAAGTAAAGCTACAGCTGTTGAGCTTCTGACAAGCTTTGTACATTTTATCATGAGCCTTTTTATTACAGAGATAACGATGGAAAAAAAAAAAAAAAAAACGCATTTGGTAAATATCCAAAAGATGTCATTTAATAAAAAAAAAAAAAAAAAATGTCTCTCACAATGAGTGGGAACTACCAAATTCCCAAAAAAAAAAAAAAAAAATCAATATTGAAYGRGGTCTAGATTTTCCCATCTAGAAAAAAAAAAAAAAAAAACTAGAAAAAAAAGGTACAAAGAATATAAAAAATTGAAAAAAAAAAAAAAAAAATATAATAAACATRTTATTAACCSAGCTAGGTCTGTAAAAAAAAAAAAAAAAAAACCTCGGTCGCTGGCACAGACCTCACTACYTTTGGAAAAAAAAAAAAAAAAAAGTTAAGATTRTCCCATACTGACRTCCRGCTTGGTTAAAAAAAAAAAAAAAAAAGTGATCTTTGATCTAACAGAGACTGTGACTTGACAAAAAAAAAAAAAAAAAAATCTGTTGGCCCTTTTGACCACTAACAGTGACTACATCTAATTTCTCCTTACATTACSCTTCCTGAATCAAACATTATAAGGTCATGAGAAAAAAAAAAAAAAAAAATGGGGCCTCTGGGAAACTGTAAAACTGGAGAAAAAAAAAAAAAAAAAAAAAAACCTACAAAAAAAGGCAGCAAAACCGAAAACCACATAAAAAAAAAAAAAAAAAACTACAATTTCACCTTTAAAGGAGTCATAAAGAAAAAAAAAAAAAAAAAAAAAAAGTTTTCGTGAAAACCGAATGCAAAAACACGTAAAAAAAAAAAAAAAAAAAAAACATCAAAACTGAACCTTTTTGCCCAAAAAACCGAAAAAAAAAAAAAAAAAAACCACAAAACCGAAAATCCCAAAGCCCCCCTCATATAAAAAAAAAAAAAAAAAAAACCACAGCAGTTAACTGGATGTGGACCACTGATGAAAAAAAAAAAAAAAAAATACAAAGTTCTCTGCATGTAACTTAATTTACGCATAAAAAAAAAAAAAAAAAACCCAGCTCCATATTTCAYTTCTCGTTCAAACTGCTAAAAAAAAAAAAAAAAAACGATGGCTTCACAGTTCTCGTTGAACACAGAGTAAAAAAAAAAAAAAAAAAAATTTCTGGTGTCGGCTTGCATGCTTGTATAAACCCAGTAAAACATCGAGACAAAGAAAAACACGGTTCCAAACTCTATTTGAATAAAGAAAAAAAAAAAAAAAAAAAAGAAGAGAACTTTTAAGAACAGAATAAACCAAGACAAAAAAAAAAAAAAAAAATCAGCTGGGTAGCTTTGAAACCATGACGTAAATCTAAAAAAAAAAAAAAAAAAAACAGAAAAAGAGGGTCTCCATAAGATTTTTTTAGTCTCCTTGTACTTCTCAGCTCGTCTAGCACGATACTTTTCCAACTCTTTTTCCAAAAAAAAAAAAAAAAAACTCGGAAGTCAAACGTTGTTTCCAAATTTCGACATAAAAAAAAAAAAAAAAAAAGGAACTAAATCTAAATGATGCTTATACTACATAAAAAAAAAAAAAAAAAAAACCGCTGGCTAACTAAACCGATGTCTCTTTTTTAGGAAAAAAAAAAAAAAAAAATCGCTTGACTCGTAGTTATGTAACATAATTTTTAAAAAAAAAAAAAAAAAAAATAAGTAAAATTACTTACAAAACTGACCATTCACATAAAAAAAAAAAAAAAAAAAAGTCTTGAATAACCTTAGTACCCAACCTCCGGCAAAAAAAAAAAAAAAAAAAGGCGAGAGTTATATATTTGCATGCTCGTGTCAAAAAAAAAAAAAAAAAAAAAAAGAAGAAGAAGACTTTCCGTTCGATTGAATAATAAAAAAAAAAAAAAAAAAAACAAAATGCCTCCAACTATAAGAATAAACGATCCTAAAAAAAAAAAAAAAAAAAAGAAAGTGAAGTTATTCAAGATTTTTTCCTTATTTAAAAAAAAAAAAAAAAAAGCTGTTCTTTGATCCTGATCTGTTCGTCGGGATGTAAAAAAAAAAAAAAAAAACAGCAGAAATAGAAGCAACATTGAAGCAAAGGATCAAAAAAAAAAAAAAAAAAATGGGGACCATGATTCAAAGTTATCCCTTGGAAGAAAAAAAAAAAAAAAAAAACTTGAATTTTCTTGGTCTAATAACAGAACGAGACTAAAAAAAAAAAAAAAAAAACTAGTGATCAAAAGTTCGATCTCTTTTTGGGTGCATTTTTCCTCCAAATTTGTACAAGTAGTTTAATTTTTCAATTTTCCAGTTTACAAAAAAAAAAAAAAAAAATCATTGCACCAAATAATTTAGACGAATAAGCCCTGAAAAAAAAAAAAAAAAAATTCATCTGTTAGTGTCACGCAATGTTTAATCAGGTAAAAAAAAAAAAAAAAAAATCATTCAGTAAAATCACTTCACGAATTACTTGACAAAAAAAAAAAAAAAAAATAATAGAGATGAGAGAAAAATAGTATGGGGAGAAAAAAAAAAAAAAAAAAAAATATGATTTCCTAAGATGTCCTAGCTATACCTATGCAAAAAAAAAAAAAAAAAAATAGAGAAATATTGGGGCCATACGGCTGGGAAACCAAAAAAAAAAAAAAAAAATGTCAGGCTTGACTTAATTAAACATTCAGACAAAGCAGAAATTCTCAGCCGCGATTTCATGCACCCATCGTAGAGCAGATTTTGCTGTAAAAAAAAAAAAAAAAAACTAACGTTTTTGTTTTGGTTAATATTTTTCGTGCAAAAAAAAAAAAAAAAAAACAGTTGACGAAAACAAAAAATTGATACCGGTGTAATTTTGAACACGTGGATTAAAAATATCATCTCCTTAACAAGTCGACCAAACTTTAAAAAAAAAAAAAAAAAAATTAGATCACAAATGACATCAAAATGTGGTAACAATATGTTAGTGCATTTTAAGGCTTCTGTAATCTGTTATGTAACAGTCACACAAGAAAAAAAAAAAAAAAAAATTATGTATCTGTCCTCAAGATCTAAGACATCATAAAAAAAAAAAAAAAAAAAAGAGTGTATAATTCAGTTGATTATAAATCAGCTGTAAAAAAAAAAAAAAAAAAAGCATAGTTTAGAATTTAATGCAATTATCCCAAACCAAAAAAAAAAAAAAAAAAGCATGCTACATATTTTCTTCATTGTTCTCTAAACAAAAAAAAAAAAAAAAAAAAGGAGAATTTGTGAAACAATCAAGAGCTTTTTCAAAAAAAAAAAAAAAAAAAAATTCTTATGACCTTAATGTTTGATTCACCAGTAAAAAAAAAAAAAAAAAAAAACAGTCACTCTCAACGTTATCGAGTTAGATCTTGTTAAAAAAAAAAAAAAAAAAGTGAATTGCCATTAACTTCCCCAGACCGGACAAACAAAAAAAAAAAAAAAAAAACTGAGGAGAATACATGCTAGCTTTCTATAATATCAAAAAAAAAAAAAAAAAACTAGTCTTCTCGGATAAGGACGAGAAAGCGTAGGCAAAAAAAAAAAAAAAAAATAAATTGTAATTATATGGTAACTTTATAACTTTCTAAAAAAAAAAAAAAAAAATTAAGAATCATCCACACAATTTGAAAGGAAATAATAAAAAAAAAAAAAAAAAAAGGCCAGATATTATTGAGGAGATTCACAGGGTATGGAAAAATCACTTGTAATGTCAGCTCTTACACTGTGTGCAAAATTTTGAATAGGAAAAAAAAAAAAAAAAAATAGTTTTGAAAATTGTAATATGTTGTAGGTTCTTTAAAAAAAAAAAAAAAAAAAACTTAAGTTGCCAGGAATATCCAAGGTTGAAATAAAAAAAAAAAAAAAAAAAAAAAATTTCTTTTTTGGTTCAGTACTTGTAAGAGAAAAAAAAAAAAAAAAAAAAAAAATTAATCATTAATTATTAAAATTTATTAAAAAAAAAAAAAAAAAAAAAATGTGTAAAGAAAATTGCAAACAATAAATGGCTGGGAAAAAAAAAAAAAAAAAAGGAATGTTTGTAAAGTAGTTCATTTGCTGGTAATAAAAAAAAAAAAAAAAAAAATATCTCTCGTGAAGTATTTTACAGATCCGCCTTAAAAAAAAAAAAAAAAAAAAAATTTAGCTCCTAAGCATTTAATCTATTTCTATAAAAAAAAAAAAAAAAAAAAGAGGCAGGCTCAGATTTCATTGAAACCAACACTTAAAAAAANACAATAAATGGCTGGGAGAGTGATGGGCGTTTGTGGAATGTTTGTAAAGTAGTTCATTTGCTGGTAATATAATTATAGATTCAAAGGATATCTCTCATGAAGTATTTTACAGATCCACCTTAACATGCATATATATGTTTAAATTTAGCTCCTGAGCATGTAATCTATTTCTATACTCACCCCAGGGTTACTTAGAGGCAGGGTCAGATTTCATTGAAACCAACACTTTCAGTGGAACTTCAATAGCACAAGCAGATTATGGAGCTGAAAACTTGGTAAGTGCAATATAATGCTGAAGCATCAGGTAACAAAGACTCCTTAGCTAGAAAACTAAATTTTGTACCTCAAATAAACGATCAAAATTCACTTAACAGCCTGCTCCCAGTTGGCTTGTTAGCTCAATTGGTAGAGCGCTGCACTAGTATCGCAGAGGTCAGTGGTTCGAATCCTGTACAGGCCTGATTTTTTTCAGGTCTGATTTTCGCTATTGCATAAATAGCGCTATCTACTGTGAAGGATCGTGCATCATATGTAAAATTCACTTTGTTGAACCTTCACCTAATAACATTAGTGATACAAGTCCTCCATACTGTTTTCTATACATTTCCGAAGATGCTAACACATCTCTCAATCTGTGTAAAGGGTGAAAGTTTCTAAAGAAACTGTGGTGCTCTGTGTTGGTGGGGGTAATTTAGGTAATTTAGTTGTATCAACTAAGTTGAAATTTTAAATTGTCCACTGTCAAGAGTTAAAGAGCTGACGTTTCGAGTGTTATCCCTTTGTCATTCACTCTGACAAAGGGCTAACACTCAAAATGTCAGCTTTTTAACTCTTTACGGTGGCCAATTTACAAATTTAACGTTGTTGATATAACCAAACTATCTCAATTTGTCTAATGGTCAAGAGCTTCTTTAGTTGGTAATCATCTCCTTTATTCTCTTGACCATTAATGTTTTATTCAGGGGTGATATTGTCAAGAGAAGTTAAATGGCAGTCATCCTAAGAGGTTAATGACTGGGCTAGCTATTGAGAATTCTGGGTATTAACTCTAAGTTATCAATTTTTAGTGTGTGATGATAAAATCACCTTGACTATGCACCATGATTATGATTTATAAGTTATAATTTGTGTTTTTATTATCATTGGTCTGTCACAACTACTACTGACATTAAATATTTATTTTTATACATTAATTTTAGGTATACAGATTGAACAAAACATCAGCTGAAATCGCCAAGAAGGCAGCCTTAGATGTTGCTGCTGCTACAGGTATAAATTCCTGTGGAAGATAATGCATAAACCTGTCAAGCCGGGTTTTCATCTATAATTGGGAAAGTCCCAGATATCAACAGTTTTACAGTTTCCCAATTTTCTCAGATTTTGCCCTTATAAGGAGGATCAAGAGATTCTTTCACATGCCATGTTTGTTTGTGACTCAGGGGTATTGTAGCTAAGCAACTGGAGGACTGGTGACAAGCTAAAACTATTGCCAATTGAAAGTCCCAGACTGAAGTTTTTGTTTAACTAAAGTGATCCCCAATTATCACAGGAAATTGGTATGTGTCAGGGAAATACAAAATGTTTGGGAATTTTCTGATTTGTCGCCAATCATTCCAGACATTGGGGATCTCTGTGATTTTGAATTTTCTTTTGACAGAAAATGAGTGGGAAACAGTGAAATTGCCAATCATCTATTAAGATTTTCCTGACATGTGAAAACCAGGCTCTATCTCACATTTTTGTCAATGTTGATTTTTAAATCTTTGAGATGTATACTGAATGGCAATTGATATATTTTTCAACCACTGACATTTACTTAATTACTGTATAACCTTTTTTTTAAGGTGTGAAAAGATATGTAGCTGGTGCGATGGGTCCAACCAACAGGACACTTTCAATCTCACCCAGTGTTGAAAATCCAGGATACAGAAACATCAGTAAGTCTTCAAGAGCTACCAGAATAAAAACGATATTTATTTATATTTATTTTTTATTTATTTATTTAAGGATTTGTACAAAGTATTGGTATATAAACAATAGGACATGAGTCCCCTACTAGGTTTAAATACCAACCCATGCAAACCCTCACTCTAACATCAGTATGAATATTCTCCATAGTATTGGCGATGTAAATTACTTATTAAATACTGAATAGGAGAATTTCTTTAACAATCAAGATCTTCTCATAATAAGTTGGCTATCATTTATTTTATTCTCCTGACATTATTGTTTGATTCAATGGTAATGCAATGAGGAGGAATTGGATGCTAGTTACTCTTAATTAGAGGTAAACTATCAACTCCCAAGATGTGATTGTTAATTCTCTATACTCTAGCTGTTAGGTAGACTTTTCCTCTTAAATTAGTTACAAAAATTTGGTGTTAGATCAAGATAACAACTTCTACCTGATAAGTTTGAAAATTCTCGTAACCTGTTTACTGGACAGTGAAGGGATGTTCTAGGTAGAAGTTAGATGTTAATCACTTCTGGGAGTAAGAGGGCAAAAGAGTTCATGACCATTTTTTAAATACTCTTTAGTCACAAAATGCGGTATTTAATACAGTTACAATATGAACAAAGGCCTTTTTGTTTCTAGGCAGTAGTTGAAAGATTTATAGATTAATTTAAAAGTTTTGTGTACAAGTTTGGTCTGTTTGTTTATTAAATGTGGCGGAATGTAATTTAGGCAAAGTTAAGTTTCAAGCCAGTGCGGTCAGCGGTCTTCTCCCCAAGCTTACGTGATCTGTGGGGTGACCGCAGGGGCCTTTGCTTACCTTGTAACTTACGTGGCATCTCATGCTGGCATTTCGAGCTGATCTTTGCGGATCTATTGCTTATAGCGAATCTTTGGGGATTCTGGCTTGTCCGACCTTTAAGGCACCAGTTCCCAAGCTCATCTATTGGCAATGAGTTGAATTGAAACAACTTTTTTGTAGCCTTTGATCAATTGGTAGAGGCCTATGCTGAGCAAGCCAGAGGGCTTTTAGATGGTGGTTCTGATATTCTTATGGTGGAAACAATATTTGACACAGCAAATGCCAAGGTACATGAAACTAAACACTTTAAACAGAATACATTTGTCAGTGCAGTCAAACTCTCTTGATATTCAAATTCCCTTTAAGCAAACCTCCAAAATGCCATACTCAAAGGCTTAATCAACAAACTATATTTTTTCATTCCCATTTTTGCTGGTGAGGTTTTCAAACTGTTTTCCAGGAGTACAAAAAATGATTGGTTTAAATGAGAAAAAAAAAAAAGAAATGAAAAATACCTGTCATAACAAACTGTAAGTTGCTTTTTCACCTGGTGACTCCAGTAAACTAAAAGCAATTAAAGAAAATCTGACTCAGGGTGAGAGCATACATCAATGTCCTTTGAGGGACCTTTACCTGTACCTAAGTGGCCGTTTTCACACTAGAGGACGGACAAATCGTCTGGCATTTGTTCGTCGAATTTGAATTCGAGAAGGCCATGTGCCAAAAAGTTGTCCATCTTATGAGCGCAAAGAGAACTGGCACAAGGTCATGTTGTAAAGCAAAATGGCTGCCGCCATGTTGAAACTTCCCATAAAACCTTGCTCTGTTGCTAGTCCCATTTCCTCGCGGCATGAAAGTCAAACATTTCACCATCTGGTATGAATTTAAGTCGTACTGTCGTCGACTTGTTCGTCTCAACAGACAAATCATCTTCAAAAAATCGTCTTTCCAGATGGCCAAATATCAGACGATTTGTTCGTCAAAAAATTTGTTCGTCCCGTTTTCACATCAGATGATTTGTTCGTCTAAGACGATTTGTCCATCCAGATGATTTGTCTGTCCTCTAGTGTGAAAATGGCCAGTGTGTTTAAAGTGCCTATTACCCCCAAGAACTTTTTTTGATCATATTAAATCTCTCTATTGCACTGAGCAAAATGCCACAAAATTTTTGTGTTTAGTTAAAACACCGATTTTTTATGAATTTTCAAAGTCGTGGAAAATCCCACTTTTTTCAAAACACGACCTAGGCACGGAATTATCAAGATGGGTCTGGGTCGAGCACAGTTTGTGACCTCATTCCAGGCTTTTCAATGAGTTTGCTTCAAGGACTGGATGAAGTATCTTGACGGATATGCCTGATAAGTGCGTTGTTTTCGGGTGTAGCAACACTCCCAACAAAGAAAAAAGAATAGCACTTCATCCAATATCTTTTTATGGAGCAGATGACCCAGAGAATAAAACAGAGAAGAAAGAAGTGGGTCGACTTTGTGCAATTGAAGCGTGCACATTGGAAGCCCAAGAAATACTCAGCCATGTGTTCCAACTACTGACTATGCAAGACTATGCAATGAAGGTTGCGAAAAGATGGAGTTGGAAATTGCGTCTTTCCGACTGATCACGTGTGGAATGTCGGAGGAAACGAAATCAGCTGAAAGCGAGCGAAGTAAGAGAAAGGTTAAAAAAATTTACCAGATCAGGCTTTAACGAAGGTTTCATCTCGTTGGGAACGTATAATATTGACTGAGATTGGATCGGAGCCTCACTGCCCATGGCCTGGAATGACGTCACTGGCCCCAGTCTCTGGTACACTCGGTCGTTCAAAAACTAAACTCGACTTTGAAAAATCATAAAAAATCACAGTTTTAACCAAACACAAAAATTTTTGTGGCATTTTGCTCAGTGCAATAGAGAGATTTAATTAATATGGCCAAAAAAGTTTTTGGGGGTTATAGGCACTTTAAGGTTGTTCATAAATTTTGAAATTTTTTTAATTCTTTTGACATTTTGTAATTTCTTTTATCCATACAAAGTGACAATTTATAAAGACAAGTGCAGCAGTAATTTTCTAGTTTTCTAATTTTTATTTAACCCTTAACTCCCATGATCCAGTTAGGTTTTCTCCCAACTGAATGCCATACACTTCCTTGTAAATTCAACAGGAGAATTCCATTCTAAATCGTGATAGATAACAAGCCTCTCAAAGCTCATGAACTGTTTGTAAGATAATGTATTGACATCTCAATGGAAAGTTACTATCAATGGAATCATATCTGGGAGTAAAAGGGTTGAAAGCCTTTGTTTATTAAGTTTTAAACATGACTATTTTTTCAGGCAGCATTGTTTGCTATTGAGCAGCTCNAGTGAAATTGCCAATCATCTATTAAGATTTTCCTGACATGTGAAAACCAGGCTCTATCTCACATTTTTGTCAATGTTGATTTTTAAATCTTTGAGATGTATACTGAATGGCAATTGATATATTTTTCAACCACTGACATTTACTTAATTACTGTATAACCTTTTTTTTAAGGTGTGAAAAGATATGTAGCTGGTGCAATGGGTCCAACCAACAGGACACTTTCAATCTCACCCAGTGTTGAAAATCCAGGATACAGAAACATCAGTAAGTCTTCAAGAGCTACCAGAATAAAAACGATATTTATTTATATTTATTTTTTATTTATTTATTTAAGGATTTGTACAAAGTATTGGTATATAAACAATAGGACATGAGTCCCCTACTAGGTTTAAATACCAACCCATGCAAACCCTCACTCTAACATCAGTATGAATATTCTCCATAGTATTGGCGATGTAAATTACTTATTAAATACTGAATAGGAGAATTTCTTTAACAATCAAGATCTTCTCATAATAAGTTGGCTATCATTTATTTTATTCTCCTGACATTATTGTTTGATTCAATGGTAATGCAATGAGGAGGAATTGGATGCTAGTTACTCTTAATTAGAGGTAAACTATCAACTCCCAAGATGTGATTGTTAATTCTCTATACTCTAGCTGTTAGGTAGACTTTTCCTCTTAAATTAGTTACAAAAATTTGGTGTTAGATCAAGATAACAACTTCTACCTGATAAGTTTGAAAATTCTCGTAACCTGTTTACTGGACAGTGAAGGGATGTTCTAGGTAGAAGTTAGATGTTAATCACTTCTGGGAGTAAGAGGGCAAAAGAGTTCATGACCATTTTTTAAATACTCTTTAGTCACAAAATGCGGTATTTAATACAGTTACAATATGAACAAAGGCCTTTTTGTTTCTAGGCAGTAGTTGAAAGATTTATAGATTAATTTAAAAGTTTTGTGTACAAGTTTGGTCTGTTTGTTTATTAAATGTGGCGGAATGTAATTTAGGCAAAGTTAAGTTTCAAGCCAGTGCGGTCAGCGGTCTTCTCCCCAAGCTTACGTGATCTGTGGGGTGACCGCAGGGGCCTTTGCTTACCTTGTAACTTACGTGGCATCTCATGCTGGCATTTCGAGCTGATCTTTGCGGATCTATTGCTTATAGCGAATCTTTGGGGATTCTGGCTTGTCCGACCTTTAAGGCACCAGTTCCCAAGCTCATCTATTGGCAATGAGTTGAATTGAAACAACTTTTTTGTAGCCTTTGATCAATTGGTAGAGGCCTATGCTGAGCAAGCCAGAGGGCTTTTAGATGGTGGTTCTGATATTCTTATGGTGGAAACAATATTTGACACAGCAAATGCCAAGGTACATGAACTTAACACTTTAAACAGAATACGTGTGTCAAATAATTCTAATTTAATTTTTTTGACATTTTGTAATTTCTTTTATCCATACAAAGTGACAATTTATAAAGACAAGTGCAGCAGTAATTTTATGTAGTTAATTCTAATTTTTATTTAACCCTTAACTCCCATGATCCAGTGAGTTATTCTCCCAACTGAGTGCCATACATTTCCTTGTAAATTTAACAGGAGAATTCCATTCTAAATCGTGATAGCTAACAAGCCTCTCAAACCTCATGACCTGTTTGTAAGATAATGTATTGACATCCCAATGGAAAGTTATTATCAATGGAATCACATCTGGAAGTAAAAGGGTTAAAAACCTTTATTTAAATTTTAACATGACTATTTTTTCAGGCAGCATTGTTTGCTATTGAGCAGCTCTTTGAAAAAGAATACAAGCCAGTCCCAATATTTGTAAGTCAAAATGAAAAAGAAATGTGAAAACTTTTTAATAATCATTCTAATACACAAGTATGGATACCAACCTGTGAAGATCTAAAATTTGGAGATTTTTCTCCTATGCCACCACAGCATCAACTCAGTAGCAACTAAAAAATTGATACCCCTCCCCCCTGATCAAATCTATCCCCTTTCCTAAAAAAGCAAAGAAAGTGTTAGTTTCTCTTAAGATGTGGTTGCATAAAAAGTTCTTTTAGAAATGGGAGATGAGTTTGTAAAACCAAAACTGTTTTGAATGATTACATGTAAATATGAGATACAATTATGTCAGCTTACTGTGGAGCAAAGCCTTTGAAAGCTAGTTCATTGATCACTTTTATTTGGGAGTTTTGGTGAACCATACAGGAGACTGGGAAACTCGTTCTGTATCCAGGAGACTCCCAGACAATCCAAAAGTGTTGGCATGTATGCATGATTACAAGCTCAGGTTCTGTTAAAAGTTTAAATTAATTTAATTTGATATTTGTAATATTTTTTTTATTCACAATACTTGTAAACTATCTCCTTTAGGTGTCAGGCACAATTGTTGATAAGAGTGGCAGAACACTGTCTGGTCAAACAACTGATGCATTTGTAATCAGTGTGTCCCATTCCAAGCCTCTGAGGTAGGTTGAAGTAATAATGATGTACATATGTGACAGGCTGAGGCTTAGCTAGCTAATGCTGGGTTTCCCATCTTGTTTTTGCACCAAAAAAAATCTTTACAAAATCAACATTATACTATCATTAAACCAACTTGACTTTTTCTTAGTTTTTCAATGAATTGTTATGAAAACCATGTGGCTGCTTCTGAAATTGATTTTCTGCCTCTTTGAAAATTACCAATAAAATTATGATAATCATTATAGGATTCACCAAAAGACCCCATCCAAACCCCCCTCTCTCAGACAAAATACCAAAATCCAAAGAGAGCCCATAGACTAACTATTTATTAGCTGTTGATGAATAATTAGTTTCTGAGCTAATGGGGGAAGGAATCACCTTGTTGTAGATGTAAAATATTAATGTTTTCATTATCTCTACTTGTTTATTTGTAGCATTGGACTCAACTGTGCCTTAGGAGCTACTGAAATGAGGCCATTCATAGAAGCCGTGGGCTTGTGCACAACATCTTATGTTCTCTGTTATCCTAATGCAGGTAATTAAAGGACTTAAATTTATCTTTTTCCAAAACTTTGGTAACAGCATAAACACTCTACACCCTAACATCAATATGCATATTCTCCATACTGTTCTCTATACATTTCCAAAGGTGCTGATAATTAGAATTTATTGTCAAGGAGCAATAAAAGCTAGGATGTTTAGTTCATGATCATTTCCTATATTCTTGCGACCTTAGTCAAGTTTTGATTGACTGACTAACTGACTGACTTTGCAGCTATCCTGCTAAGCATGAATTATCCAATTTTAAGCAAAGTAAAAAATGATTCCATACTGATAATGATTATTTGCTTTAGGACTGCCAAACACTTTTGGAGGTTATGATGAAACGCCAGAGATGACGGCAGAACATTTAAAGGTAAACCATGTGTTATGACCTTATAACAGAATACAGAATGAAGATACACTGTCATCTTATACTGAGTACAGGATTCTATGCCTTCATTATTTTCATGAAACTTTTGATAAATAATCTTGTAAATAACCTGAGTGTGCCTTTCAAAAATTTCAGAATTTTGCTAAAGATGGACTTGTGAACCTTGTGGGTGGCTGTTGTGGTACAACGCCAGCTCATATCAAGTAAGTGTACATTAATTCAATACCGTAACAATATTTATAGTTGTATTATTTAGTCCATTGCAAACTTGGTCGTCAATGTTGCAGTGTCTTCCATAGTACAACATGTTTTTGGAATCAAGAAACAATCTCTTGCAAGATTACCTTCCCAGCAGGAGCTCAGTCTCACTCAAGAGATGAGGTGCTATCCAAAGCTCCAAGTTTACTTTGCAATTTTGCCAACAAGAATGTGCTTTCAATAAAAAAGAACATGCAGATTAAACGTAACTTTTTGTAACAAAAAGCTTAAAAATGCAAAGCTGTTTCAGTGGACTTGACATCTCAGCCCTGCATAATTTATTTTCCAAGTTTAGTGGCTTGTGGTGTCCTTGATTGCCATAGTATATAACTTAGCAATACACTACTGGAAACATACAAACTTGGTAGGTGCTAAATTCTTTAATACACCAGTAGAATCTCATCAAAGCCCTTCACTCGTCACAATCCCATGAAATTGAAGTCTGCTTAAATGCTGGTCACTCCTACTAACAACTCTTAACCACAATTTTCATTTTATTTTGTTTCAGAGCGATCGCTGAGGCAGTGAAACCTTACAAACCAAGGCCACTTCCAGAGGACCAGTATGCCAATGCCATGAATCTTTCAGGTGTGTGTTCTTTATCAAGGATTACAAGGACTTACCTTTTTTATACCTGTTAAACATGTGTTGTTTCTCAGAGTAAAAGAAATCTTCTTTGATGGTATTTAACATGTAGGTCTTGAACCCATGAGAATTACACCGGACACCTTGTTTGTGAACATTGGGGAGCGTTGCAATGTTGCTGGGTCCAGGAGGTTTTGCAGGCTAATTAAGGAAGGAAAATTTGAGGTAAGGACACTAATTCATGTTGTTTTAAGATACAAATGAAGGTACAGGGTGATAAACACCAGCTTCTTAGTTTTATCAGAGCTGGAAAATATGCTACTCGTGAAATTCAAACTTTTGTCGTTATGTAGTAATGAAGTCTGTATTCCTCTGTAACACACAGGAAGCCCTAGCTGTAGCCAAGCTGCAGGTGGAGAATGGCGCCCAAGTGTTAGATATTAACATGGACGAAGGCATGTTGGATGGGGTGTCATGCATGGCCAAATTTGTCAACTTGATTTCTTCAGAACCAGAGATTGCAAAGGTACTATCAGTATATAAGGAGGTGAATACTGAAGGTATCAAACCTAAACAATAACAAATAGTACAAGACAACTCAAAGCATTGTTTGTGTATACATCTATTTGCACATTTTTACAGTGATGTTTTGGCAACATTCTCGGATGATTCTGTTTCCTGCATAAATCTTCATTACTTTATTTTCAAATGAAGGATTTTTGTTTACTCTTTTCTTTTTGCTTTCCTTTTGCCTATTGTTATTTACGGTACCGTTTTACTGCAATAAGATAATAATATATCGCATTGTGGCTAATGGGTACTTGCCATTGTTTTCTCTGCACCAGGTTCCTCTATGTATCGACTCCTCCAACTTTGCTGTAATAGAAGCTGGGCTTAAGTGTACTCAGGGAAAATGTATCGTAAACAGCATCAGCTTGAAAAATGGAGAGGAAGACTATTTGGAGAAAGCAAAGATCATCAAACGTTATGGCGCCGCTGTTGTAGTGATGGCATTTGACGAACAAGGACAGGTAAGCGCTACTGCTAGGAATAGTTTTTTCATTTGAATATACATCTAGTTGATCAGTATTTAATTTAAATTGACTTTCTTCTCTTGCAGGCTGCAGAGTTAGAAGACAAGATAAAGATTTGCACACGTTCGTACAACTTACTGGTGTCCAAAATAAACTTCAACCCTAATGACATCATCTTTGACCCAAACATTCTCACAGTTGCAACGGGAATGGAAGAACACAACAACTATGGGAAATATTTCATTGAAGCCACAAGGGCCATTAAGGTTTGTGGGCTTTTTTTATGGTTACTGGTAAACCGGAAGTATTTTTTCATTAATTTTTCAAAGCTTAGGTTGGAACCAGCTCTTTATACATTCGCTTCTACAGTTACCTAAAGTGGAAACTACAGTGAACATCATAGAACGTGCTTAGGATGTTAGAGATCCCTCTTTGACAAGCCCTTGTAGTTTCTTTTGTTTTTTTTTGTTTTTGGGAGGGGGGGATATCCTGCACCCTTGTTTATTTCATTTTACTTCTGTATTCAACTTTAGAACGTTTATTAATAGTGAGTTGAATAAAGATTGTCTTGCTTACGGTAATCGAGAGAGGAATTTGTACAAGGTTGATAGAAATTGATTAAGCATGGATTTTATTTTCTTTCTAGCAAACTCTTCCTGGAGCAAGAGTCAGTGGGGGCCTTTCCAACTTTTCCTTCTCATTCCGTGGAATGGACGCAATAAGAGAAGCCATGCACAGTGTATTCTTGTACCATGGGATTAAGGTTAGGATCAAAATTGAGCATCTTTCAAAATTCACCTAGAATAAAGAGTTTCCATAAGATGAACGGGGAGAAATAGTTATTGGAATTTAATGACAATTAATTAATTATAATTAATTATTTAATAATTAATTATAATTAATTTAATGAAGTAATCGTAGGATTGAGTCGTGGTACATGAGTGGTGTAGTTCTTGATCCATCAAAAGGGCTGGTTGGTTCTGGAGAGAAAGGCAAACCTGAAAACCTGGACAAAAATCTGTCACCCAAGCACCGGCTAAAGATGATAAACCTCTGCCGCCTTCCATTGCTGAAGGCCTCATAGTTTCCATCCGGCAAAGAAACACTCGCGAAGGAGCGCTGATAAGGAGGAACTGTTCGCAAGCTAACAACAGATCCAAGAATCAAACACTGACCAGTTGTGGGAGGAAAGTACTCCTACCCAGTGACATCCTTGCTCTCCTGAAGATTTCACTCTTACTTTATTTATTTATTTATTTATTTATTTATTTATCTGGTTTATTTACAGTCAGGGTTTTACCAGTCATGTACATGTGATTTTCTTGCAGGCTGGCTTGGATATGGCCATTGTGAATGCTGGTAATCTTCCCGTGTATGATGATATAGAGTCCAAGCTTCTACAGTTGTGCGAGGATTTATTGTGGAACAGAGATCCAAACAGCACGGAAAAACTGCTGCAGTATGCTCAGGTACGATTACTTAGGCGTAGTTTTGAATCTCTCGCACTTCGGGCATAAAACAAGAAATAAATGTGTCTGTCAGGGGTTTCAGTAAAAGTTGTTTCCGGCGGACTACCGCTGCCCATATAAGACCTTGCCGTCATCTGTTGAGCCTGCGAGCAGATGCTCAGAATGCTGGAAGTGATATTTCCGTGCTTTAATCCTTTAAACCCTAAGAGTGACCAGCATCCAATTTCTCCTTACATTATCACCCCTGAATCACACAGTAAAGCCGTGAGAATAAAAAAAAATGATCACAAACTTCAGAGGGTCTTAAAGGCTGATAGTTTCGAAAGAAACTGTTTGGGGCTGCGTCGGTGGGGTAACGAAATAATTTGGATATATCAACAAAGTTGAAATGGTAAATTGGCCACCGTAACGATTACAAAAGCTGACGTTTTGAGCGTTAGCCCTTCGTCGGAGCGAATAGAGGAATTGTGGGTTGTGTGTGCTACAATTCCTCTATTCGCTCCGACGAAGGGCTAACGCTCGAAACGTCAGCTTTTGTAATCGTTACGGTAGCCAATTTACCATTTCAACTTTGTTGATATATCCAAATTATTCAGAAGGTCTTGATCGTTTAACAAATTCTCCTTGTCAGCATCCTTGGGAATGTATAGAAAACAGTAAGGAGATTTTTTATGGGGGAACATGCCTCACAGATTCCCCTCCCCCCTCCTCTTTTAGGGGGAATGGGGCTTTATGCCCCCCTTTCCGAGCACAGCTGCCTATTGCCCTATGGGCATCTGCTTATGGAAAAAGTTATTGGTATTTCTGTGATACACAGGGAATGGGCAAAGGAGCGAAGAAACAGGTCACCACAGATGAATGGAGAAACGGAAACGTGGAAGAGAGACTGGAGTATGGCTTGGTAAAGGTAAGAAAAATGATATTAACATTAAATAGAAGACACGGACATCTTTGCCAAATGTTGGCGAGGAGTTTGGAATTAGTTTTCTCGGTAAAATGTAAGCAAGTAGCCGTAAAATGCGAAAAAGTGATATGATTTATTTCTGCTATCCTTTAGGGCATCGACAAATTTGTGATAGAGGATACCGAAGAAGCCAGGCAATGTTCAGACAGATATCCACGTCCGTTAAACGTAATTGAAGGACCATTGATGAAGGTAAGGTTTTAGTCACAGCTCATTGTCCCTAAGCCGGTTGTTGAAATCGAGAAAGGAGAAATGGTGGGACACTTTCATAGCTAAGTATCGATAATTTAATGCGCCGTCAAAAATGACGTGTGGCTTTTGTTTCCTTACAGGGTATGGGGGTGGTTGGAGATCTCTTTGGTGCAGGAAAAATGTTCTTACCTCAGGTAGGAAGAGCAACTCCACTCTGTTGTAAAAACACGAAAGGAAAAGACTGATGCAAAAAGACTAACTAGTTAAGAGATAGATGGATGGGGGGATAAACATGGATCAGACAGTGAACTAATTTTAACACTATCTGTGTTACATATACTGTAAAACTGACTGACTAAACGACCAACGGAAGAAGTGCCTAGCTGACTAACTTACTTTCTGACTGACTGACTGACTGACTAACTGACTAACTGACTGACTGACTGACTTACTGACTGGCTGGCTGGCTGACTGACTGACTGACTAACTGACTGACTAACTGAAGGAAGAACAGAGACAGACTCTCTGATTGATTAACTGATCGACTGACTGAAGGACGAACGGAATGACTGTCTGACGACATGATCTGCTTACTGACTGACAGACTAATCGACCTTAATGAAAAGACGGTCTGACTGACTGACGGCCGACTGACTACATGAATGACCGACCACCTCTCTGACTGACAGCCTGCCTGCTTGCCTAACTGGCTGACTGACCAACTGACAGGTCGACTGACTCGCTGACTGACTCACTGACAGGCTGACCGTCTGGCTGACTGACTCACTGGCAGGCTGACCGTCTGGCTGACTGACTGACTGACAGGCTGACCGTCTGGCTGACTGACTCACTGGCAGGCTGACCGTCTGGCTGACTGACTGACTGACAGGCTGACCGTCTGACTGACTGACTCACTGGCAGGCTGACCGTCTGACTGACTCAGTGACAGGCTGACCGTCTGACTCACTGACTGACCAACCGATGATTGACCGGTTAATAATTCGTTTGTATAACGTACGCAGTGTAGTAACAAATCATACTGCGTTCAACAGGTAATTAAGTCAGCTCGTGTTATGAAGAAAGCTGTCGGTCACCTGATCCCATTTATGGAAAAAGAGCGCGAGGAGAGACTGGCAAAGCACGGAGTTGGACCCGATGATGACCTTTCGGTACGTTAGAGTTCCTAATGTTACTTAGGTAACTTGTGCTTATTATACCTTCGCCTGAAAAAGACTTCTTTTTGGAGCGCGTCAAGTTTTCTTCTAGTGCGTTAAATCGAAGACGAGATGACAATAGAAAAATGCAATGAATCATTATAGTCAATCAAACCAAAATTTGATATCAGAGAAATAAATTGGAAAAGGGAATGGAAGAAATGGCTCCACAGGCTTTAATACATCATTTCTTAGAAGAGGACGTCAGTTGATTCGTTATTTTTTATTTATTTATTTGTCTGTTTTCAGAGTCGTTACAATGGAACAATTGTCTTGGCAACAGTCAAAGGGGATGTTCACGATATTGGCAAGAACATTGTGGGAGTGGTACTAGGATGCAATAACTACAGGTAAAACCATACCCGATTGTTGTCAGTCAAAAAAATTACAAAGCAAAAAATTTTATTGTTTTTTTCCTCGTCTTTATTGTTTACAGAGTTATTGACCTTGGCGTGATGACACCGTGCGAGAAGATCTTACAGACTGCGATGCAAGAAAAGGCCGATATTATTGGTTTGTCTGGTCTGATTACTCCTTCACTGGACGAAATGATTCACGTCGCCAGAGAGATGGAGAGACAAGGTCTCAAAATACCCCTGCTTATTGGAGGAGCGACAACGTCAAAGTAAATTTTTTTCTATTGTCTGAATGCCGGTGACACACTGGGCGATTTTAGGCGCGACAACTTTATCCGAAGGTTAATATACAATGGTATTTTCTGCCCTTGTTCGTGTAGCGGGCATCGTAAATGAGTTTCACCGATGGACTCGATTTGCCAATAAACTCTTCAGATCTCTTCACGGTGTCACTGGATGACAGATTGTTAAGAATTCATTTTGAGCTTGAATAACTCTGTATTACTTCTCTCCGCTGTGATAAACATTTTGTATTTCGTGTTTTTTTCCCAGGACACACACAGCTGTGAAGATCGCTCCGCGTTATGCGGAACCTACTGTCCACGTTCTGGACGCTTCCAAGAGTGTTGTGGTGGTAAGACAGCTTGATCATTCGCTTACGTTTCGTGTTGTAATAACACGAATTTGCTACCTTTCTATAACATCAAGAAATGGTTAGATATGCTAGTCTTCTCGGATAGGGACGAATAAATGGAGGTCCCGTCTCCTGCAGGGTTGGGGTAGGAGACGTTAATTTCCCACACACGAGATTACTGTGTGATTGATGTCCTCCCTGGGGTGGGATGGGTGGGAGGGTGGACTAGCACGAATGGTTCCTATGTTCCTTTCTAGTCCTTCCCCACTTCAAAACTTAATGCAGTTAAGATGGACTGAATGAAATGAAATGAAATGAAATTAACACGGCGTATTTTGTCTAAATATATAACTTGACAATCTGTTTCCACAGTGCTCAGCCTTGATAGATGAGAACGCTAAGGAAGACTTCATGGAAGAAATCAAAGAGGAATACGAAGAGCTCAGAGACGAGCATTACGATTCTTTGAAGGTGAGAGAAATGTCACTCGATGTCACTAACACACCCGCCAAAGCTACAGTGTGTATCTCTTTTCCCTCAACCGGGGATTGATCGAAGACGCTCGGTACTTCATGTGTTTTGGTGTTGAAGGATTAGACGCCGTGTTGGATACACAAATGCATAAAATTCAATATTACAAGATTAATGATCTCCATGGCACCTCAGAGAATTTGCGTTAGCTAAAAATCACTCAAAGACGGTTTGTCTTTAGGAAGAGGCCTCTACAGCAGGTTTGAGGGTTTTTGTTTCTTCATTTTCCTTTCAAATTTGAAGCGTGAAACGTTGTTAGCTTTGAGTGGCACGACTGCTTTTTTTGCGTCGGTGAAAGAAAAGAGGATAAAAACTTTTGACTATTTTTTGGCGTCAATTTTCAGCGCATTTACTAAACTAGTATTTAATAATTTTGTTTTGGTAGGATCGCAAGTATCTGTCCCTTGAGAAAGCTCGTTTGAAGAAGTGCAATCTGGACTGGATTGACTTCACTCCAGGTTCTTACTTATATTTATTTTACAAATAACTTAAGAAAAAGTGAGATTCATTCCTTTTCAAAATTGCGACCTCATCGTTGTGTGATATACATAGTTGCTTGTCAATGTAAATATCCTCTCCTCAGTAAACAGACAATTTGTCTGCTTGAGGTTTTGTTCAGAGATTGTCATCTGATAACGCCTTTGATTGGCTGTTTCTCAGAAAGTAACAGGCAATTGGAGACAATGCACCGATCTGCGTAGAGTTCTGTCTTCATAATGGAGTTTTTGTTTTTTTAGAATAATTATTAATGAAGATAAATTATAATTTTTTTATTAGAAGTGATTTTTAATCTTCTTTTTTAGTGCGTCCATCGTTCTTGGGTGTCAAAGTGATTGACGATTGCGATTTAAATGACATCATTCCCTACATTGACTGGAAACCTTTCTTTGACGTGTGGCAGCTGAGAGGAAAATATCCCAACAGGGGGTACCCTAAAATCTTCCAGGATAAAACCGTCGGTAAGTATAAACTTGTGAAACTTGAAACTTCCATACCAATTCTTTTTAACACCACCCTTTTACTTCTCTTTACAATATCTATTTATAACATAACCAAAGTTAAGCGCGCGCTCTGATTGGTCAATTTAGCGTCCCCCATTTGCCCATGGGTGTACGCTGCTGACGTGAGCAAATGCAAAGACTATTTTTCCGCGCGCGCTTGTTTTTTCTGGTCGCGTAAGATTTGTTAAATAAAAGGGAACTCTTTAGCTACAATGTATCAATGTTATGTTATAAAACAAATGGTAAACACCACAGCGTACACTATTGAGTTATGGATGCACTTGGGAGGTTTGCTAAGCACTCAAGAAGCTAGAGTCGCTCTCGGCTATCGCCTCGAGCGACTCTTACGCTTCTTTCGTGCTTAGCAACCTCCCGCGTGCATCCATAACTCAATAGTGTACGCTGTGGTGTTTACCATTTGTTTAGCGCGCGCGGAAAAATAGTCTTTGCATTTGCTCACGTCAGCAGCGTACACCCATGGGCAAATGGGGGACGCTAAATTGACCAATCAGAGCGCGCGCTTTACTTTGGTTATGTTATAATTGCTCTTGGGCGACTCAGGAATCTTAGTTTTTTCATAAAAAGCCTATCGGCTGGGCACCCTGGATTTCACAGTTTCAGAGCATTGGGCTCCCTTCAATTTCTCTTAGAGCACAGCCTTGCATTACCTGTTTTCTGGATAATGTTTAACAAATGGTAAACACCACAGCGTACACTATTGAGTTATGGATGCACTTGGGAGGTTTGCTAAGCACTCAAGAAGCTAGAGTCGCTCTCGGCTATCGCCTCGAGCAACTCCTACGCTTCTTTCGTGCTTAGCAACCTCCCGCGTGCACTATAACTCAATAGTGTACGCTGTGGTGTTTACCATTTGTTAAAAGTAAGGCGCCAGGGGCCACTGAGCGCTGCTAGACCATAGCCTAGTGATGGGAATGCTCGAACTTGCCAGGTAGAAGTTTTTATGTTGATCCGACACCAAATTCTCCTTGCTGATTTGCAAGGAAATGTATAGCAGCAAGAGGGGAGACTTAAAATTCAGATCTTGGTAATTAAAGGGTTCAACTCGAATTATGTTTGCTTCCTCTTCAGGCGAAGAAGCAAAAAAGTTGTTCAACGATGCCCAAGACATGTTAAAGGCGATTATTGAGACGAAATCGCTGCAACCGACTGGTATAGTGGCTTTCTTTCCAGCTAATAGTGTCGGTGATGACATTCATATATTTGAGGACGACAACAAACGAGAGGGTTCCCCACGCGCTGTGTTCTACGGCTTGAGACAACAGGTAGGCAGGCACAGCGTGCAGACTATCTCTTACCTCGAGATAGCACTTCGTTCGGTTATTAGTAATTTAAACTGTTTTATTTCGGGAAGTAGTCAAGTTTCTTGTTGATTTTCCAAACAGATAAGTAGATATGCACATTAACTCGGAACTAAAGAAAATCTTTGTCAAAACCTTTGCTTTAACTCGTTACTGGAAACGGAATCTTTCCTTTCCTTTCTCTAAACAAGCATTTTAAGTTCGTCTTATTTCTGCTCTTAACAACTTTTTGTGTTTCATTTTCAGGCCGAAAAGGAGCGTGGGGTAGAAGATCCCTATTACTGTCTGTCCGACTTTGTAGCACCGCTGGACTCAAATATCAAAGACTACGTCGGCTGCTTTGCTGTATCTGTTATGGGGGCCGAGGAGATGGCTAAAAAGTATGTAGCTAAATGCCATCCAACCCTTTCACACTATTACATCAGTATGAAATTTAACCAGACTCTATACATCATAAATAAACCCTTGAGCCTCATTACCATTGAGACACGAATTTTCTCCTCAGTTATCATACGCCCTTCCGTGCGTTTGGAACGCCAATATCACCTCCAGTAATATAGAAATACCTCGTGTTTGGAATTGAAACAGAATGTAATATTTATCCTCTGTTTCTCAGATTTGATGAGGATCTTGACGATTACAGCGTTATTATGGTGAAAGCACTTGCTGACCGCCTAGCCGAAGTGAGTAACATTTCCATCCGTTTTAGCGACACTTTAAATCCTTTCTGAAATATCTAAGCTTTAGTGAAGGTGTAGTCTGATCGTCCGGGTGAGTGTAGTCCTGAGAAGGACTGTTGTCGGTGGTAGTGACTGACGTTTCGACAACCTGTGCGGAAGTCATCATCAGAGTCAAGTGAATGATTGTTGTCAGTAGAATGTTCTTATTCCAGTTCATGTGAAATGATCGGTTGGTTTTGCCGTGATGTTATTGGCTGTACGACTCAAGTGACGTAAGTCGGTCGTGATTGGTCTGTTTCGATCTGTCGGTAAAGTTAGGTCGTTCTCGTCGCCCGTCTGAACACAGACGGTGTTCACAGAAAGGTGATGTCAGCAATCACATTGCTGAACACCATCGACTTACCAACCACAACATTGACTGGGACTCTGCGCAATGCCTAACCTACAGCACTGACTATTTTTAACGACTGACTCTGGAAAGCTGGTTTACTAACTTAGAACAGACTCCCCTAAACAGATGTCAACAACTACCCGCTCCATACAAACGACTCATTCACGACATAAACATCACAAACGACCGAAAAAGAACGACCTAACTTTACCGACAGATCGAAACATACCAATCACGACCGACTTACGTCACTTGAGTCTTACAGCCAATAACATCACGGCAAAACCAACCGATCATTTCACACAAACTGGAATAAGAACATTCTACTGACAACAATCATTCACTTGACTCTGATGATGACTTCCGCACAGGTTGTCGAAAGGTCAGTCACTACCACCGACAACAGTCCTTCTCAGCACTACACTCACCCGGACGATCAGACTACACCTTGACATGTTACCCCCCGGGTTCAAACCATTTACTGCATCTAAGCTATAGTGTTTATCGAAGGAACTGCTTTACGGCCTTCGACCTGTCTGATTCTTCCTCCTCAAGGCCACAAATGCCCCACTTAGGCTTTCCTGTCTCTTTCTTAAGCCTTTCTATATTCTTTTATTGTTCCTTGACCCAGGCCTTTGCAGAGGAACTTCATGAACTTGTGCGCAAGGATTTATGGGGTTACTGTAGCGATGAGGTTCTGGACGCGAAGGACTTGCACCGAATCAAATACCAGGTAATTATTGGTGATGGATTGTGAACAATGGCTGACGGTGATCGCCGTCAGTCGTAGCTGGAAGACTAGACCCTAGCATAATGATGAAAATTTAAGGTCTTTCTCTCGAAATAAACCTTTCAGTGAAAAAAGAGCGTGGTTCCAGTAGTGATATATTCATAGAGTGTATCCCCAAGTCCTGAAAAAATCTGTCACTTTTTTAAATTACATTTCCTTGATGTGAACAAAACTTGAACTTGAAGACTAGAAAACTTGTGTAATCAATAGCTACCACTTCATTTTACTTCTCTAGGGAATCCGGCCGGCACCGGGTTACCCAAGTCAACCGGACCATACTGAGAAAAAGACTATGTGGGATTTAATGAACTGTGAGAAATTAACTGGAATCAAGTTAACAGAGTCTCTGGCCATGGATCCCGCTGCTTCAGTATCGGCGGTTTTCTTCGCTCATCCTAAAGCTGTTTACTTCTCAGTGGGAAAAATCTGCGAAGACCAGGTGGGAAAAAAATTATGCTTTTTGAATTTAGCTTGTCTTACCCCTAGAAGTGCTAGGTTTGTTGGCTGAGAAATATTTCTTAGTTTGTGTTAGAAACTCGTGCGAATTGAAGCACGACCACGATCACTTTTAAGAGTTCTAGGGGGTAAGAGGTAGGGCAAGTGCCTTTCCCTGCCCCTCCCCCACCGTCCACTCTAGCTATCAATCAAACATGGCTGGTGGAATCAACGAACGCGAACTTTTTAACGTTCACTCGACCTAAGATGACGCCCGAAATGCATGCTTTGTGCTTTAGCAATAGGCTCCAATACAAAACTCACGCTTAAGCTAGGTAAAAAGGATTACGCTTTGGAAAAGAAAGCTCCAGCTGGCAAACTAGACAAAACGAAACTTTGAAGTGTTCTTCACAGGTGGCAGTTATGATACAAATCCCGCTAATCGTTACTTCTTTGTTCTTTATCTTTCTCTCTCTTTAAGGTGAAAGATTATGCTGAACGAAAGGAAATGCCAGTTGAAGAAGTCGAGAAATGGCTATCACCTATTCTCTCCTACGACAGAGACTAAACGCAAACAGAATAATGTATATCAAGATAAACGCATGTCGTCGTACTCATTTTCGTTCCAAGATGATGTTCTTGAGAGCAACGTAACCTTCGCAGACTTGATGTGCTGGTGCTTTTCCAGCGGCATGTGACTTTTCACGTTTTGGAATCGTCCTCTTCGCGGAAATGGGCAAATACCATTTAGGATCCGGATTTTTGTAAATGAAAGGGGATATCGACAGGCGACGTACTAAGTAAAAGTATCACTTATGTTATTGAATCCCCAACAGTCAATTTCAATTGAAAGGCACTACTGCAACGCGTGACGGGTTTTCTGGGCTGTGTGAGCATTCTATCCTCTAACGAGGCTAATTTAAACAAACGAACTAAGTGCTTTGAAAAACAATGCCGATCAACTCTCCATTTGGTAAACTACATTTGAGAAGTTCGCTTTTTAAAGGATTGTCATCGGAAATACCTTTTGTGGGGGGTGGGGTATCTTACTGAAATTTTTAACAGCGTCGTGTTATTAACAAGCTAACTAAGAACCTTGAACTTTCAGAATTTTTGAACATGTTCCTTCTCCCACCGTTTCAATACTTTATCTTGCAAATACATGCTGGGAATAGGCTAACGTATCCGCTGGAAGGTGTTGTCTCGCTGTAGCACCAAATTATTGGAAACAATTTTAAAAGAAGAGTTTAGCGAGGGAAGAAGGTAGAGGAAGGAAGAGAGAAATCATGTCTGGTTGCGGCAGCTAAATTAAGGGTTAATGATATTCTTAATTGTACATCATAATACGTTAAATATCTTGGCTTCGATTATTTCGCACAGCATGCCTTATATAAAATCGAAATGATTTGTTATAGGTATTACGTGAAGTACCATTTTTAATTATAGCCAAGATGATGATTACTGTCAAGTAATAAACTATTTAAAAACAACATTTTGCTTGATTTTTGTAAGTAAAAAGTTGCTGTGTCATAACTAACAAGGTCTGTGTATGTACGGATTAAAAAAGTTGGTTAGTTTTGAATTCAGGGAGGAAATATCGGACTATATCTCGCTACGTCGCATGGGACGAAAAAAAAATTCTGAGTTTCATCGAGGGAGAGTCGAACCAGCGACCTTCGAATTCAACTCGTGACATGAAAAAAAAAAACCACCTCTCTCAAAGATCTAACGTTTCTCAAAGATATAGGTTTCAATGATCAAGCTCGTTCGAGCTTGTTCGCGCTCATATCCAAACTACCCCAGCGTTAGGGGCTGGTTGCTGTGCCTCATGTGTTCTTACCTCATTTTGACGTCATATGTGATCTGTTACTGAAGAGGCAATATGGAAACTATTAGTTAAATTGCCAATGTTTCTTGACCAATGAGCATGCGAGAATAACTACATTCGTTACGGAAAACAGCTTTTGGAACACTGTTCCCGAAGTTCGATATTTCCAAGGAGCTGGAAACGCTCGCTCGATTGTTGACAACTTGTAATCTACAGCATCATACAATTAAGAGCCTTGTTAGTTTGTCTCTACCATTTTTAATTGAAATTTGTGATTTTTAATAAGCACGTTATCTTTGTAACCGAGGGAGGCTGGGTAGAGAAAGAGAACTACCAGGGGTTGGAGCGAAGAAATAGACAGCAGACCAAAGGCACCGATCGGTACTGTATTGCCGTAGTAAATTTTCAGGGTTTTGATATAGCTCAAACTTTCTTTCTGTAATATGCCGGTAAAAGTTATGGTCACTTATTGGTAAGCATGTTTTTAAGACTTTAGGACTAGTTTCTGCGGATCTCTGCCGCTCCTGTCTTGCTTCCATCAAAAGTTTTGATTTCATTCGTCAGCTTAATTTAGCTAGAGTGCGTTGGATCTTGCTTACAGTTTTGCCTGTTTTGAATATTGCAGTGGAGGATGAGGGTACAAACCTAAGGTATGAACCTACACCGAAAACTCATTAAGCTTAAAATGACTGCTAGAAATTAAAGCTTTTTCGTTTCATAGAGTGAAGTCATAGCTACAAAGTCATTAAAAAAAAAAAACAGATTAAATCGTAGCATTTGCTCTATAGATCTTTGCTAACTGCCAGCTCTGGCCTACTGGATTTGCTGAAAAAAATTAAAAGCTTTCCTGAAGGAACGAAAACAAACAAGGTGGCCATAAGAACCAAGCTCTCTTTAATTAACTCCCCACCCCACTCCCCACTCACTTCCTTTTCTTGCTTTAGGATGATCACAGCACCCCGCTCGGGACGGAACACGGGGGGATAATAGAATAATGCTGTCTTGCATTTAGATTATCTCTCACCCAGGATAGAAAAGCTCCGAGAGAAAGTGAAATGACTAAAGTGAAAACATTTCCTGCACCATTTCCATCATCAACAAGGGTATCAGTGATGGAAAATTGTGGTGCCTTTATTGTTTATAATGACAATCTAGCGTACCCAAATAGATTTTCCATCAAAAACAATGTATGAATCCCATACTGAAAATAACTAGTATGAGAATATTTCAATAGAATCAAAGCATGTTTTAGGTTCAGTAATCTAATTGGAACATATACAGCTTCTGTATTATTATTATCATTATTATTAAATGATGTTAATAATTGTATATTTGTTATCGATATTATGATTTCTATATTTATTCTCTCCAGTTTCAGAAAATCAAACAGAGGATCCTCACCGAATTTTCTGGTAAAGAAGTGAAAGTGGTAATTAGTAACATGTACCCTATAATTGTTACTCTTGCCAGCTTTTTCATCTCTTACATTAAAAGAAATTAAAAGTCACATGAGTTATGCTGGGTACTTCAACGGAACTACAAACTTTCACCGCTAACCTTTATCACATTCAACGAAGAAGAATTGGGTTATCTTTGTTGCCCATCTGAGAAGTGTTCTAAGAATATTTGCACTTATGAAAAAAAGTTCCTTAATTCTAATTATTTGTATGGATCTACGCTATATATTTTTTCCCATTCTTTGCACCACAAATATTTACCATTTTCCATTATATCATGATTTTGGTTTTTTTTTTTTTAATTTGTTCCACAGCACGGATTTGCAACACAAACTGTTACTGGTTATTTAGAGGTGGACGTAAATGACAAGCTTGTTCATTCTAAAAAGGTATCATATGATAATTTTATGGAAAGAACTATAAAGATCACAATTAACAAGTTATTTTTTTTGTCATGTACACATATTCCCTGCATATAATGGAAGTGTGTGCTTAAAAAATGCCAACCAGCTAGTATGCAATGCAATTCACTATCCCTGATACAAATGCAATTCAGTATCCCTGGCACAAATGCAACCCACCCACCCCTTCCTCCCCTTAGTTGCAAACCAGCCTTATTGTGCAGAAGACAGTAGTGGTTAAAAAGAAATAACTCTTCACTGTGGTATGCTCTCTCTTTTTTTTTCTTTTTTTTTTTTAATTACTGTATGAAACAGTGAAATTGATGAAACTGAAACAGCTTTGAATACAGATATCTTATTAACCAAGTGGGAGGGCCTTACTGGGAGAATATTGGCCTGAGGTCTTGACAGTACGGACCGAGCGCAGTGAGGTCTGTACATTTAAAGACTGAGGACCGATATTCTTCCAGTACGGTCCCGAGCAAGCTTGGTTAATAAGAGATTTATTATACGACTGAAGTTCAAAGGGACGCAAGTGCGGTATCATTCGGGACCATTCGGGACAGTGCCCGGTCCAATACTAAGAGAATATTGACTGGTAATAGAGCATTTTGATTGGTTAATTTTAGTTATTGGCCCTCTGACTGCGGCT